TTTTATGTCTTGCTATTCTCTGTAGATTACTCTTTCAAGTCTATTAACACTCAGCTCTACTGGCATTGCATACTGCCAACTTGTACATGCACTTTTAATCTCATTCAAATAATATTGAAGTTGCATGAGAAAGGTACTGCTAGAGGGTGAGACTGTTCACATTTTATGACTGATATTGGATATGCTGTTTAATTGCAAGCTAAGAACATTGCCATTTTGCAGGAACTACAATGTAAGCACGTTGTGGCAATGTTGCTACATATCAACGCCAAGAGGAACTTCAACGTACTGGCGTCCACAGACTTGCCACAAAAGTGGGGGAAGGGGCAGAAGAGAGCGGTCGGGGAGAAGTATGCTCCGAGGAAGATCGTCAACCTCCCGGGTCTTGAAAAAGTGAGCTATGAAACTTCTATTTATGCACAGCGTTTTTAGCAGACCTTGTGCATACCATAAAGCTCCCTCCGCCAGCGCCAAATGAAATCACGGGAAAGGGCTGTACAAGACCCACATATAAACGCTTCTTCTGCCCTGACCTGTGCTAACGGAGCTTGACCAACAGTGTGTCACGGCATAGGTACGCCGAGAGCACACAGGATGCTCCTTCATTTTCTTGTGTGCGTTACGTGACCTTGTGGGATTTTCACTAATGATGTAGTGCATATGTTGCGTCAGCCTGAGTTAGCAAATCAAATGAAGACAGTGATGTGTATGCTGGGCCAGTTGTGCGAAACTGTGCCAAGGGGCTAACCCTGCTATGTCCTGCTACATTTGCCAAAATATGGGTAGTCTACACCAAGCCTGTGCCAAAGCACCAGTTTAGGTCGCCTTTCAAAAACGAAACTAAACTGAGAACCGTAATTGAGCATGCGTGACCTAGGTGGCGCAAGAAACCGCCCAACACTAAGTACCCCGCATCAATCATCCGTCCGATCACCCCCACCCCTTGCATGGCTTTTCCCGCCGTCTCAGGTTTTGCGCTCTCATGTCATCTTGGGGCTCTTGTCCGGTGGTCACGTCTCGCGCCTTTTTCAATTTTTTTCAACGATACACACGGGCGTGTGCGAATGCTCTGACGTTAGTGTGCCGGCCATGCCGTCATGCTGTGGAACAAAACCATTTTTTTTTTTTTTTGCGCGGCAAGAGTTGCTTTGTGAGCTGAAGCACTAGCACAACCACAGTCACCGTGGTCGTGCAATGTAACTGGTTGCCGTCCCCACGTCGCTACAAATATGCCGCTTTCTAAACTGAAACGTAGTTACTGCTGCGTGTTCATCAACATTCGTGCTCTCGTTTAAATCATATGGCACTACCAAAATCCCCCTTTTCAAAAACTGCTTGTCGAAGTAGTGATTACATAGGTTTCTCTCGGTGGGCTTTCTTTTTCGAGAGGGACCCCGATACGTAAAAAATCTGCCGCGAAAGTGTTAGTGACGAGAAGTGAGCAAAGGAGGCAATGTCTGCAAGCTGAACCCGCAGAGTGTTCTTGTTTGCCACAAGTTCAGTCGTTGGAAAAAGCGCTCCAAAAACTTTTTGACCGTGGCTCGCGATGCCATACATCGATGCACTCAGGTTCTTTTTTTCTGGGTGTTTAGCTTGTACCTCGCCTGCCGGCCTGTCAAGCGCACACCGCTGGACTGTTTTTTTTTTTTTTTCGTATGCTAGGCAGTTGCATTTTGCATACAATTTTGGGATCCAGTAGGCGACAGAACGGAGTGACATGATTTCGGTTTCGACCGAACAGCCATTGTCTCCGCTTGCACAACGAAGCACGCGCAACTGCAAGCCTGCCAATGTTGCCCTTACATGCATGCGAACATGGTTGCATGTAAGAGGCACTAGCCGGGACGCTTGCAATCCATTGTTTTACGTTTGCTTAATTTTGGCGAAATTTTGCTTTATATTTTCAGGTTGAAGGGGATCCGGTCCTGCTTCCTAAAGGCGATATCCTGGGACGACTACTGGAGGGACTGACTTATAGGTCAGCTGCCCTGCGGCACACCGAAGAAATCCGTCCTCTGGGTTGGTTCATGAACTGCATTTCCTCTTTCTCTTTCCTATTGTCTTTGCTACAGTTGGTTTTGGCTGTTTGTTGGTCATTCTTAAGAGACTTTATGAATCGATTCTCTCAGTATCCGACGAACATCAGTGGTGGCATGCCTCACACGGGATAGAAGCTGTGCTCAGTACAGACCATGCAGGATGTTTGGATCACAGCAGAAAAAACCCAAGATAAATGTACACTCCTGTGTATATTTATCTGTGTAGAATTTTTGTGTACATTGAAACCCTAGATAAATGTACACCACTTAGATCGGTGGCTGTGATAAATTGACACAGCTGTGAGCAGTACGCTCAACGGATGGGGACTCCAACCTTAATATGTTTACATTCTGAATTGTGCATGCCTGACTCACAAAAGTTAGAGTTGATAATAAAAAGTACAGGTACTAGGTTCTGAAGGCATGGCGATTGCGCCATATATATATTAGATTTGAGTGGAAGCACTAATATCCAATATGTCGTAACAGTTGACTGCAAAGGAGAGAAAAAAATGTCAAGCGAACCAGAAAAGCAACCAGAAATGTTCCTTAGTACAATATGTTTAAAGTGGCTGAGGCTTAAGTCTAGTTGAGCAATGTGCACTGTCATCCTGCCATAGGCAGATTTCTACAAAAAACCAGATTGCCAGGTGCAGGTGACTTTTCTGACCCACAACTCTAAACTGAAAGTGCGCCTGGAGCACCATCACCAATTAAGTATGCCACTACATGCTTAATTGGTGTACAAGGTCTGTTTAAGAAGTATCCTACCTGAATTAGTACCGTGGAAACAAATGAAGCCCGAATAGCTTTATCTGGTGGGGAGGCAGAGGGAACGTTAATGCGCATGCAAGAATTTTATCAGGCCCGCAAAAAATGTGAGTCGCTGGCAGTTAGCCTCGGAGTGATGACGTGTAGTTAGTGCTCGTCGTTTTTTTTTTTTTTGTTTGTTTTTTTGCAACATGACAAAGTAGTTTGAGTGAGAGGTATTGCATCAAATTTTGATTCAAGCTTGCTCACACTCAAGTGGAAACAATTCGAAATATTCAGCAGGAGTTCGAGGACGATGCCATGGGCATTAAAAAAACATTAAGGTTTGGTACAACCAGATCAAAGATGACTGCATGTCAGTGGGGAGAGGCCTTCAACAAGCCGAAATAATCTGGTTATTAACCAACTTCGTGCAATCGTGCCGAAGTTTCTCACGATGGAGCTGCATCATGACAGTGCACCAGCTCATTCCTTGCGTCTGAGTTTTTTTGGCCAAAACAGGCTTCCTACTGTCTCAACATGGCTCCATGGGATTTCTAGCTCTTCCCTACGATGAAAATGCCGCTGAAAGGAACCCTATTCGAGTTACGGAAAAAAATGACGAGCAGCGACTACAATTCCTCACTCGGAGGCTGACTGAAAACAACTCACATTTTCATCGGGCCTGATAAAATTCACACATACACATTAATGTTCACTCCACTTCTCTAACCAGAAGATGCTGTCTGCACTTCATTTGTTTATGCAGAACAAATTTAGGTCTGATACTTTTTTAATGGCCCTCGTATGCTCACATATTAGTACCAGGCTTATTCAACGTATTCACTATGGCAGCAATGAGACTGGTCATAATTAGTCCTCTTGTGTTTTGTACATAGAACTGTTCCCTAGCATTTCATTTTTGCATTCCAACAACCAATTTCTTTCCTATCACCTTTATAATGTGTAATGTGTCAATATTCCCTGTTTATTTGCATGTTTGCAGAGATATCAACCGCCCCCACCGCAGCTGAGGAGCCCCCTGTCCCCGGACTGCCCACACTTACGCGGCTGATTGCCACAACTGCTGCTCCCAGCTTCGATGCTTTTGTGGAGGAGATAAGGGCCACCTTCTCTGCAGACGTCTGCGCGGTAATCGAGGAGAGGACGAGGGAACAGTCGCTATCTGAGGACTGGTTGCGCCAGAGGATAGGCATGGCAACCAGTACAGTCTGCCATTCCTTCAAAACAAGGGCAGCGAAGTGCGAGACAGAGCAAATGCCGCACAACGTGGGGCCTTTGTTGAAGGCGGTCCTCCGCACGAGCACATACCAGTCTGCAGCAATGCAGCGCGGGCTGAGCATGGAAGGCACTGCGCGGGACAAGTATGTCTCGGTTGTGAAGTCGAGGGGCCACGCATGCACTGTGAAAGACAGGGGCCTATTGATTTGGAACGAGTTTCCTGTGATGGGCTGTAGCGTGGATGGGCTCGTTACTTTCACCTGCGCCTGCTGCAAGGATGAGAAGCGTATTTTAGAAATCAAGTGCCTCAACACGGTGAAGAAAGCTTTCTCAAAGGACAAGCCGACACCCCTATTCTACACACAGGTTCAGGTCCAGATGGGGATAACGAATATTCCAGTGTGTGACTTTTTCGTCTACAAGAGTCTAGAGGACTTGAGGGCACTTACCGTGCCATTTGATGCTGCACATTTCCTTAAATGTTCGGCTGCAGTGCACACCCTGTACGACAAGTACATTTTTGACACGCTGAAGAATCTGGCATGTTCATACTCGTGGTAGTGGGCCCCAAAAAGGGCCAGTGCGGTAACATTAGATATGCATTTCAAGCCAGCAAATAAACAAAAGGATGGCAACAAGCACGTGCTAATACATTCATTTATTACAGTATGCATGACATCAAATTTGCAAAATTAAATTGGCATAGAAACATATCTTACAAGGCTGTTGAATGGCTTGTGTGTCTAAATGCACGAGCTAGAAATATTGACTCATTTCTGTGCTTTGACAACCTTTCTCCAATGTGGCACAGGGGAAGAGTACCTTGAACGAAGTTAACAAGGAAATTCTTGGCTAGTGACAGTCTGTGACCGAACAATACTTTTTTCTTACTACCCAGCTAAAGAGAACTCATTCTTCACAAATGACAGTGGGATGCCATGTTTGAACTGCCCATTAAGTTATCTACAGATTAACGTCAACGTTTAAACAGGCAGCTAAAAGAAAACGCTATCGTGTCCTGTTCAGCAATGTATTAACCAGTTAAAAATTTGTCGTTGCTGAACAAGGGCTTTGAGAGGTTCACGAGACCTGCAATGATGACGACAACATCATCGATTTGCGGAAGGAGGTCTGCGCTGAAATTGTGCCGAAGAATTCGAAACAACTTCATTCGCTGAATTGCACGCTCGACATGGACGCGTGCGGCTGCGATGCTTTGGTTGTTTGCGGCGTCAGATTTGCTCAGCTGTGTGTTTTTACGGAGAAATGGTGGACGAACCAACTTTACCTTGTGTTCGCAACACAGCTCGTCAATTAAGGACCCTTTGTCGACCATTACGCTGTCGATGAAGGGCAGGCATTTCTCTAGAAGCCCACTCTCCTTTGTGATATGCGTGTCGGAGGATCTGCCACAGTATGCCGGACTCACATAGCTAATTAAGCCACCTGGCGTCTCGCACACAAGCACCTTTGCAGTGTGGGTTCCCATGTAGTGACTGTAGGTAAGTAGTTGAGACTCCAGGTTTTTCGGTGTTTGCAGAGGAATCTCTGTACAGTCGAGCACCATGCGACAGCCCCTGTACTTGTTAAAGTACTTGGTCAGGGACTGGAGCACAGCCTCATTTTCAGGCCAGAAAACGGCGTGCCTGAGCACTGCTGCTAGGACCGGTACCGACGCTCTAAATATGTTGGAAGCTGTCGTCCTATGGACCCCAAACAGTACCCCAAGAAGGGAAAACGTCAGATTGTGGTACAGCTTCATCATTGTTAGCAGTACTGCGTCCTCGTTACTGATGCTGAAATCCTTCCTCTGGCTTAATAAGCGAGATTCCCCATACAGGTCGCAGATGTTATAGAATAGCTGAAAACAGGGTATGCAGGTCAGTGATACGAGGGCCGGTTCATTCTTAACCCGTGCTATCCCGAGCACTTGATCTTTCTCAAGCTGTAGTGTGTCCGCTTGACTTCCGACATCTTTCTTCAAGGTGTGAAGTTCAGCCTGAAGACCTGAAACATTAAAAAACAACTCTGGTATCAACTAGAATTAGGCTGACATGACTCACACTGGGCATGCAATGTTTGCTTTCTCCTCATCAATGGGATCTGCAGCATCGGCATCCTGGTTGGGTAGTTCCTGCTCAATCAAACCCTCACTGGTGCTGGCTTCTTCGGAGTTCAGCCCTGCCAATGTAACTGCTGCTGGCAGGTCATCCTTGGCTGTTAAATCCAAGTGAAAAAAAAACAACAGAAAAACCTAAAATTACAGCTCAGCACTGGAACTGAAATAGACACGACCATGCTTTATCTTCTGATGACTGAAAAAAAAAAAAAAAGTAAACAGGTATGCAGGAGCCAAATATTTAAAATCTGGTTATTTATCACACAGCATCCACTGATACCACGAATGTTCCCTACAAACGAGAGCACTCACGGCGAGGCTTGCATGTGTCCACACCTGCCCGCGGCTTCAGGGGCTGTCGCAGCTTCGGGGGCTTGTCCAGTGGCCGTAAAGGCAGATTCTGGGACGGCACGGTTCCTGGGGCGAGTGTCCTTTTTTTCCAGCCTGACGAGAAAAAAAGGAAGAAAATCAAGCACGACGGAGCGTGAGCATGCGTCGATCTCGGCCGTCTGATCGCCAGCTTTGCTCAGTTCGCTCGCGTGACTTGGGGGCGTCGTGGCCCAGGAAAACTAACGAGTGTTAAGCACTTAGATACACGCATGCGTGATATCACTCTCTGCGAAAACGTTTCGTGTTTGCAGCTTACGTGCAAAATGCAAGAGCGTCGATCTCCGACGGGTCCAACAAAATCCCCCCCTTTTTGTGGAGGTTCACTGAAATAACTGGAGAACACTTACCAAACATCTTCGCTCCAACCGCATACACGAAGTCTTCATCTCTAAAGTGCTTGCTGCACACTGTCGAGCTCTTGGAGTTTAATTTGCCCATTCTTAACTTCACAAGCCACTCCGTGCGCAGCTGCTTCTCCTTGGGGTAGATGTGAAAGCTGACGTTCGGGTCGGTCGCGTAACTGCGGCATTGCGGCACCGAACAGTACTTCACCATTGCTTCCTGAGCACGACGGCTGCCGAAGCCGATCCATGCGTGATTTAATCGGGCTCCAAACACAGAAAAAAACACGAAAATAACGACCGAGCGGTTCCCGAATACCCCGACCAAAGCAAGGCAGAATAACCGTCCTTATCACGTGATCCCCTATCCTACGTCACGGTCGAGCGATCGCAGCGCTCCAATCGGTCCCGCTCGGGGCCAATAGAGCTTTATATGTTCACAGTTTGTTTGTTCAGCTTGTTGACGGACCTTACAAAAGAAATGTACAGTGAAACCTGCGACGTCCGAGACCTCTGTAACAATGAAAACATGGCAAATGATCACATGTTCACTGAGTGCCACAGACTATTTTACATGTTGAGCTCGTCCTTAAGTCGGACTCCTTACTGATTCAACTTCCGAGCATGTACCAAGAAAGACAACTTTGGAGAGGCTTCACTTCGTACTAATATACAATAATTAAAAATACAAAAAATAGCCGGACCGATTAAATGTACTATTTCTTTCAAGGTTGCCTAAAACAAAAAAAAAACAAAAAAATTGGTGGTGATTTTTTAAGTATTATTCAATTTGATCAGTACGGTTTATTCGCTTACATATTTCCGATTATTTTTAATTTAGAGACCACTTCTTACAATACAAAAAAATAATGTGACATACTATACGATATCTATACCAATATAGCATTATTAAGTGTCACGTTACGTATCATGCTAATGAGCACGCAAGTAAATATATATGTGGATCCCTAATTGCACGAATTATAGCCTACAAATTAAAAATTACTTGAATATTTAAAAAAAAGAACATTTATACATTTATAAACAATTCAAATGGTCATCATTGTTTATGAATTGCCACTTCCTACTTTGCTGTTTCAAAAGGAAGTCAGCTGTCCACCTAGTAAGACAAGCAAACTCTTTTGGTTCACTTGCCGGCACCCTGTTGCTTTTGCTGTTTTTCACATCCATCAAACATTAACGGCGAAATCGATATCTATATGACGCAAACCCTGACAGGTTATTTTTTCAGTCTCGCTAGGGTCAGTGCCCGGAAGTCAATAGTGTGCGGAAATGCCGGGCCCGGTGGAAAAAAAAACCCTGCTTGGTTTCTTCCGGCATTACAGACGGGCGGCGAGAGCTGCGGAAATTGCTGGTGGGATCACAAACAGTAAGCGTGCTAGGCACGAAAACAGAATTTGTGTTATAAGAAAGGGACACACTACAGAGATGTATATGGAGTATCCAGGGTGAGAATATATAAGGCTGCACTCTGTAACACCGAAGCATGTTAATTCGCATGGTGCACATCTTATTCTACAAAATGGTTCGTTGGTATTTTGTTTTGCTTTTATTGTGTTTTTATTTTGATCTGCTTTACCTTATGGTCGGTTTTTACTTTAATAATATTTCTTGGTATCATAGGAGGTTTGAGGAAAAAACCTTGTGCAATCACAAAAACTGTACGCCCACTTACTGACAGAGAGCGTTCAAATAACGAGTTAACAAAAACCGTTTTACTTTGTGTGAACGTGTAGCAGAAGTTAATGAAACAGTTAATTACCGCTTGAACTTGTTCACCGACATCAGGCGAAGACGACCACGTTATTTTGAAAAAAACAAAAATCGCGTCCTTGCTTCATGTCTGATTAAATTTTCATAAAGAAAAAAATATATTCGTTGATGGATCATTCCTTATATTCTACTGAAAAGTAGACATTTATAGTTCAAGATTCGACGGGACACAGAAGTCCATTGAGCTTTGTGGATTATTCACAAGATATTAAACGAATTTTAAGCCACTAGTGCCAGTAAGCTCGTGTAAAGTGAAAAACATTCGAAGCAAATATCCTTGCAAAACTCCTTTAAGGAACACGAAAAAACAATTTAGAATCCCATAGACGGTAAAAAAAAAAAAAGTAGTTCACACACAAATTTTTTTTGCAATGTTTATTTGTTGAACGTAATTTAGTTGGAGGTACGTCCTGCTCTAAAACCCGCACATAAATTAATGATTTTTAACTAGCTAGGCACCGCTTCTCGGCTGTCAATCGTTGGAGAGAGTATTGACGTGTGGAGTGTTCGTTGTAAAACTGTTTATCTCTGACGTGGTGGCCTTTTTTTTAACGTAAACTCATTTTCGAGAAACAAGCTACATAAGTAGTCATGACTCCTTTCACTTTCAAATATATCACGAGATCGCCTTTTCCGCGTTGGTGTTAAACGATAACAAAATGGTTGCCTGCATTAACGGCGGGCAGCATCATACACAAAGTAGCTCATTGAGCTTCCCAATTTTATAAATACGAGTCATTTCGTAATCCTGAAAATATTTAGAAGAATGTATCCTTAAACGTCATAGTTTGCTATAAACAATTGTCGCCACTATACGGCATCGGAGGCGTTGTGTGGTTGCGTGTTTGCGTAGTGCGACTGACATTACCCTATAACGTCCTCAATCAACTATTTTGCTCTACATGACTTGATATGTTGGTTTGCGCGTGTTCATGTGAATCGTGCAGCCATGAACTGTGAATCCGTGCATCGTGCATCCGTCGTGATTGCGACCATAGTTTCACTACTGAGCGAATACTTACACGTGTAAAAATTTGCGAGCATTTACTGGACACTATATTTGAGTGCGATGTTTCACTGTGCATGTTCAAAACGAGCTCACGTTTATTGAAATTTAAGACAGGCTATCGAGATGGGGTGGAATGTATTCGTTGCAAAAGAAGTGTGCGTGCTTGCACTCAACACGCCCTCAGCAGCCGCGGACTCAGCTGGCCACCATTGAATACTCCATATAGCATAAGGTTTGTGTAGGTATGTTCCCGTTGCAACAGTTGTCAGTCGCAACCGAGGTCTCAGGTTTCCTTTTGGATGAGAGTGAATGAGAAGACCTGCGACATGACAACACTTTCATGATTACGAATGAACGACGGGTGGGCGATCGAGGCTCACTGGTTTGCTAGCTGTCGGGGTCGCCCTCGGGAGCCCAGGTTTTGGTAGGCACTTGTGTTACGCAGCTCTGTTTCGGGTCCGAGAGGCGAGCCGGTGCATTGTGGCGGTCAAAGCCTGCGTCGAGGGCACGTTTCACGCTCCTGCTGTTCTGAAGGCAGGCTTCTTGCATCTCTGCAGCGGTGGCCGTTGCTTTCATTTTCTTCTCGCAGGTTCGCGAATCTTCGTGCTCGCTGCCGCTCCGTCGTCGGCCCCTTTTTGTTTGGCCCCGCAGCAGGAGCATTTCGCTCCTGCTGCGGCATCTCTTTTTCTTTTCTCCGGTTGGCCCCAAGAGTCCCGCTCGTCCATCATGTACCCCTTCTTTTCTTGTCCCCCGCGCCACGACAAGACACGGGTTCTGGCCCCACTCTTATCTGTATCCCTCTCCTGCGCCCTTGCTTCTGGTCACGGAGTCCGGGAGAAGAGCAGGTGACCTGAGCAAGGTCACGCGAGTCATGTATTTTCTCCCGCGGCGCCCGCGAGCGTTTAGTAGAGAGCGACGCCGTCATTTTGCTCCGGGGGACCTGTAGCTCTAAAGGTTTAGTTCGCGTCTTCATTGCGCGTCATGACGCTCACCCACCTTGCTCACGGACGCTGTCACACGAAAGCAACACGACTCAGAAAGCTGAAAGGTCTGCATATTCATTTTGTTGAGCTATTTTCTTCTAGTTCCTTCGGACGGCTTTTTGCGAACCCTGACAGACGACGACATACACTTGTTTTGAACTTGTCTCGTGCACGATGGAAGGCTAAAGAACCGTTTACATGGTCGCGCCTGACGGGCGTTGCAGTCGGTAGTGCAATGAGTATACCAGCAACTAGTCGTGCGCCTTCCCGCACGACGAGCTGGCGGTGTCAGAAGGTAGACTATAGACGCACCGGACGTCGCGACAGGGAGACATTACGTTTGAGAACCTGGTCGACCGAGCCGTGAAGTCATTGCTGTAGTCATGGGCAGACCGCCGTTCCGTGGGCGGGGCCTAGAGCTGGTCACGACCTCCACTTTAATGGCGTAGAGCGGAGTTAGAATTTCGTTAAAACATTTTAGAGCGCAGCTCTTAGGGGCCCGCTTCCGGCTTGAGCGGCGTCGGCGTCGCCGTCGCCGTCGCCGTCGCTGTCGGCGTAACCGCGCGTTGCATTATGGGTAAATTTCCCCGCTAAATCAAGCGTAAAAATTTTCCCCGCTAGATTTAGCGGAAATAATTCCCCGCTAAATCTAGCGGAAAAGTTTCCCCGCTAAATCTAGCGGAAAAATTTCTCCGCTAAATCTAGCGGGAAAAATTCCCCGCTAAATCTAGCGGAGAAGTTTCCCCGCAAAATCTAGCGGAAAATATTCCCCGCTAAATCTAGCGGAAAAATTTCCCCGCTAGATTCAGCGGAAAAAATTCCCCGCTTAGCGGAAAAGTTTCCCCGCTAAATAGAGCGGAAAAATTTCACCGGTAAATCTAGCGGAAAAATTTCCCCGCTAAATATAGCGGAAAAATGTCCCCGCTAAATCTAGCGGAAAAATTTCCCCGCTAGATTTAGCAGAAAAAAATTCCCCGCTAAGTCTAGCGGAAAAATTTTCCCGTTAAACCTAGCGGAAAAATTTCCCCGCTAAATCTAGCGAAAAAATTTTCCCGCTAAATCTAGCAGAAAAATTTCCCCGCTAGATTTAGCGGAAAAATTTCCCCGCTAAATCTAGCGGAAAAATTTCCCCGCTAGATTTAGCGGAAAAAATTCCCCGCTGTTTAGCGGAAAAATTTTTCCGTTAAACCTAGCAGAAAAATTTCTCCGCTAAATCTAGCGGAAAAAAATTCCCCGATAAATTCAGCGGAAAAACTTCCCCGCTAAATTTAGCGAAAAAATTTCCCCGCTAGATTTTGCGGGAAAAATTCCCCGCTGTCTAGCGGAAAAATTTCCCCGCTAAATCTAGCGAAAAACTAGCGGAAAAATTTTCCCGAAAATCTAGCGGAAACATTTCCCCGCTAGACTTTTAGCGGAAAAATTCCCCGCTGTAGCGGAAAAATTTCCCCGTTATAT